CAGAAAACTACAACTTTGAGAAAAGAAATGGATGCTAAAAGGGCAACCACGAACACCTTTTCCTACAAGAACCAGGGAGGTTTCTCTCAGCTTTTAAAAATAAGAAGTTTTGTCATCTGAAGAGAAAGAAAGCAGTAGAGCAAGAGAGTATAACTAAAGAACGCTGGGGAAAAAAAAAAGGCTTCTGAAGAAATGGATCGAAACCCCAGGCAAGTGGGCTGGATGATGACACAGCACTAAAATGTGACACTTTGGGGACCAGCAGTTGGTGTAATGGCTATGTCACTGGACTCTCATGTAGTCGACCGAGGTCTGAGTCCCAGACCCAGTGACTTAAACTCATGCCAGGCGCGTGTGTGTGCGTGCCCAAGATCCCCAGAGGAGAATGGAGGAGAAGGGATTATGGTGTGACCATCCCCCCCTGGGGGGTGATTTCTCGCTTTCTATCTCTCTGTCTCTCTCTGTCTTTCTGGCGAGCGCATGCGCCCTATAGCAAAAACCTCTCCAAAAAGAAAAAAAAAAAAAGTGACACTTTGTGAGGCTGACCCACATGACAAGGTTCGGAATTCATGCCAGGAGAGTCCCTGAGTACTCCTGGCACAGGTGTGCCCATGATCCAGGGCAGCTGAAGGCTGAGGTGGATTGCAGTACCATGATCCTACGGTGCTGCTTTCTTTCTGTCTGTCTCAATTGCTCACAGAAGTAAGTAAATAAATAACTTTAAAAAGAAAAAAAAACAAAAACCAGGCAGAATGGCCATTATTGGTAGCGAGCAGAACCACGTGCTCCTAGGAGATCAGGGATAGCAAGTATAGACATGGGCAAAAACATGGGCGGTTCTTGGCAGCATGGACAGAGGCTGAGGAAATGCTGACTGGTGGCTGTGAACGTAAGTGCAGGTCAAGGTGACATCGCCAACTGAAAATAAGGCAGAAAAGTGAAATAAGCACTAAAGGAGTTACGATAAGATGGACAGAATGGGCTTTTGGAGGTTCAAGTTAATGTTTTTCATAGTAGTAGAGTAGGAAAAAAAAGAGCAAACTCCTATATAATCAAAAAAATGTAAGCAGAGCTAGAAAAAGTAGTAAGCTCTGGTAAAAAAAAAAAGCCATAAATAACACTGTAATAGAAGATTATAGCACTGAAGGAAAAATAGTACTCACTGGAGAAAGAGGATTAGAAAATGAAGCAATTAGGAGGAAGTAGGAGTTTGTGGCAGGTTAAAAAAAAGCAATTATGACTAAAATCAAAAATAAGATCCTCTAATCTATCTTTCAAAAATTTAAGCATGTATAACATATTCTTTATTCTGTCAGAAAATGGGTTGAGTATGAGTAATATTTAATTCCCTCCACACGGCTAAATCTTAGCTAAGAAATAAGGTAGAACAGCTGCTTCTTTTCGTATTATTGTGTAGATTAGCAACATGAGAATTAGGGTTTTTTTTTCCCTTTATTTAATATATTTTAAAAATTCTTCTCCACCATGGCCTACTCAACTTCTGGGAAGGAATCCCTGTCCTAAAGTAAAATAAAGAGGCCTTGTGTTTATATTCATACTCATCTGATTCTGAATTTTGCTAAGAAAAAGTGGCATGAAATAAAAATAATAAAAATATTTGAAGAATCTAAGCTTGGAACACAAGGTCACAAAGAAAGGCAACCTTGGTTCTACTTGCCTCAGGACAGTGACCTTGACAGAGGGCTTTGATTTGAAATCAGTTAATGGGTTCCAGAGAATGGAGGAGTTATTATAATATAATGTGCATTTTGAGTGGGAAAAAGAAACTTCCTGCAACACATTAAACCTTCAGTTCTCCCTGTTACAAGATTGAAAGGTCACACAGGCCAGGAGCCTGTGGAATTAAGAAGGGTGTATTCTTTATGAGGGTAAATCCCTCCCACTACCCCTTCTCCAGGCACATATGTCGTTTTCTACCAAAAACTTCCAATTGTTTTGGAAACACTTAATACCTTCTTACTAGAAAACCCTTAAGAAGGCAACATGAGTGCTTAGCAAAGCACAATTTCTATTTCTTTCTCAAGAGGCAGAAAGAACAAGAGATCCTTGTTTAACATAGCAACCATCATTTATTGAGTATTTACCATGTGCCAGGTGCTCTGCTGGGCACTTTACATGCATCATCTGAGTTAAACTCCATAGCAACTCTTCAAATTGTGTAGTATCATCGTGTTACAGGAAAAAAAAAAAAAAAGACAAGTACAAAGAGCTCAAATACTTAGCCGAGCTCACAGCTAGTAGGTGGCAGGGCTGTATGCTGAAACCACATCTGTTTGATTCCAAAGCCACACTCTTTATTTTATACCACTCCATTTTAAAACAAACAAAAAAAATTTTTTAGAATTATTTTTATTTAACTTTATTGATTTATTTTAATTTGACCAGAGAGGGACAGAGAGAGAGAGAGAAAGAGAGAGGGAGGGAAAGCAAGGAAGTAAGCCAAGAGGACAGGGACTCCAACTGCGGTTGGCCATGTGGGAGTCCAGCACCCTTAACCACTACGCCACCTGCCGGCCCTAAAAGAATTTCTTCATGTTCATGACTAAAAAAGACAGCAGTTGGAAGAAATGTTGAAAAAGGGAAATAAAATACATTAAAATGTTGATAATTAAATGCAAATACAGATTTACTCAAAATCAAATATACACCCTCTCTAGATTCACTATGAGATATACTGAGACAAATACCTAAAGTGATGGAGGGCAGAGATACTTTCAGGTCAGAAAGCAAGCCCAGCTTCAAATGATGTGGCTGTGGAATTTAGGAATTTCATGAGCCTGACAGAAAGCAACCAGGTCAGGGCCACAGGTCCCTTCCACAGAGAGGCATGGAGAGGAGCTCAAGGCTGAGAGAGAAAGCACAATAGGTTGGGGGAAAAAAATAGGGATGCAAGGAAGGCCACTGATAGCATTCATTTTGGGAAAACACTACACAACCCTATGCAAAAGAAAATAATAGTAGGTACTGTAAGCAGCTGAACTAAAGCGAAGTAGAACCAGGACAGAATCATGCTCTCCTCAGGGGACAAGTCACTCACCTTCGCTGATGTTATGAAAATAAGGACTGCCCATATTGAGAAAAGTTCACTGCAGGCCGGAATACTTGCAGATTGCCCCGCAATATCAGGAGATGTCAGTCACCACTGCGTGTTGGGTACAGTACTTGGAGGACAGGGAATAAGGCTGCCATTGTAATGAGTTTATCCTGGATTGGCCCCAGCATATAAAATAAAACAATAATAATATTATTCATCAGTTGTGCGTTTTGTCATGCAGATATAGACCAGAGCAGTGGTTTTCCACCTCTGCCCCGGTCCACCCCCTGAGAGGGAGTTCCAGAAGGTCTAGCCCATTTTTTATTGTCACAGTGTGGGATGAGAGGTGTTAGCGGTAACTAATGGGTGGAGCATCCTGTCCACTCAGGACAGCTCTCCAACACACAGAATGACCATTCCGAGATGTCAACATGTGCAAGTTTTGCAGCTCTGGACCACAGGAGGTTGTTGCGTTTATGGTGGGAGGGGTAGTACTGGTCACAGCCTTTTTGAGCTCCTCAGTCCCCAAATACCATTTCTCAGGGGTCATTATTGCTGGCAGAGAGGGCATCAGGAGGCTTAGGACGGGACCCATAGAGAGGCCACTATCCATTTTCTTTTGCATCTAAACAATACATCTTCCTGTAGCTCAGGTCCTTTGGTTGTCCCAAGCGACCCTGGGTTGTTCTGACACTCACACATGGAAATCCGGGACCCTGTGGCACTTGAGTTTCTGCCTGGGCTTAGGTTTCTTCTCCCTCAACAACGTGTGTTGTGCCCTCGTGGTGGGAAAAGCCAAACATTTGGGGCCCGAGAAGCTTTCATGACGTCATTTATTTAGTCTCGATGAAGACTTCTGGAAAGTTGCGGATTCCCAGAAGCTGGAAGCCAGGCCAGAGAGCATTTGTCCACGAGTAAGTTAATGACTTAATTTGCGAGCAACTAGCAGGGGGAGCTGTGGAAACCCCCGTTGGGTCGCTGGCAGCCGCCGAAGCCTCCTCGACCCAGGGATTGTCCCCTCCTGCAGAAGGGGAAGCGCTGAGGCGCGCAGGCCGGTTGCAGCGTGGCGGCCGCTGCTTCCCGACCGGACAGTGCCCGTGGTGGGCAAGGAAGTCCCTGTTTCCAAGTCCTTACGGCTTCTGGAAACTACCGGCCCCGCTGAAAGGGAGGCGATAAGGCCGGCGGGTGCAAACCCGGGAGTGGGAAGATGCCGGCGGGCGGGAAGCGACAGGAAGAGGCGGGATTCCTGCCTTTTGTGTCGCGGCCCTTCACCCGGAGCCGGGCTGCGAGCCCCGCAGCTGCCGAACGCCCCAACCCTCCGCGGAGGGTCAGGGAACCCCGGGTGGACTGCGGACGGGGCGGGGCGCTGCAGGCCACGCCCACAGAGGATCTTTAAAAGGCGCGAGCGCGCGCTCGTCCGTGGCTCTCGGACTCCCTGCGTCCTGCCCCTGGTCCTGCGTCGCCAGCTCAGCCCGCGGTGTGTGCGCCGGCCTGGACTCGAGTGAGTAGGGGGCGGGAGGGGGGTTCTCTACGGAGCCCTCTACCAGGAAGGGAGTTCCCACCGCTTCCCAGGTTGTCGGG